ATTTATATATATATACAAAATTCTAAGAAAGGCTGTAGACCTCAATATTTTTTAAAACATGTTCCAAGTCGTATAAAAATTCTGAAAAAAATGTTTATTGGGCCGGCCCTGGCGGACGGAATGAAACCGAGGCTACGTTTCGTATATTCATGCCAGTATTGGAAATCTATAGTGTACGTAACGTATACTATAGATTTTCAGTACTGTAATGAATATCAGAATGTAGTCCATGATACGACTACAGGATTTGCATATAAAAAAAAAGAAAAGAAAAACTGTTTGACGTTTTCCTTGACCAGCCAGAGTAGCGCGTTGAGCCTAATTAAAATTCAGGCGCACGCGGTCCGATTCACATGTTCCTTCGTTTTACTCCAAGTAGAACAACAGGTCATCACAATAACGTCAAAATGACGTTAAAATGAATTCCGATTGATCAAAAAGTGACTTTCTATAATCACTTTGGATGTCATTTGAATGTTATTGTAATGCCATCATGATTTTTAATTGTCCTGTTTAGCAGCAACACTGTGGATCGCGGAAAGTATCAGCGGTTCAGTCCGGTGGTTCCGGTCGTACCAGTCCAGTCAGCCGAGATTGCCTGAATCACCTCAGTTCCTGCTCGCGTATCGACGGGCAAAGGCGAAGAAGATTTTCTAACGCGGCGCGCGCCGTCCTCCCTTGTGATGTGACACCCGGTGTAGTGATCAACGGTGCGGCAGCGAGAAGAGTCGAGAAAAGAAAATGCAGCGGTCAAGGGCGGTTGTCCTGGCGCGCGTTTGCCTGCCGCTTCTGCTGCTGGTGGCCGTGGCAAGCGCGAGGATCCACAAGCTGGACATACGGGTTGGTTAACGTCTTCCAGACGGCGCCGTCCGTCATTATCGTTATCACGCGCCTTGATTGCTACTCGGAGAAAGGTGACACGCGCGGGCTCATGGCAGTGCTGCACAACGCGTTTATGAGTTTATCTAGTATTACTTTATCGATGAGTGAGCAATTTTCACGCGCGATGCAAAATAGGTCCTGCGACGGGAAAATCGAAGGACATTACGATACTCTGTATAATATATAACGGCCATGCAAAGCCGTGAGAAACGAGCGATATCATCGACAATATCGTCGCGTCGTTGCGCGTCGCGTCGATAATTTCGTATATTACGCTGATGTACGTAGTTTACATCATGATTATCGGGTTTATCATCTGTGCGGTACTGTGTTGTAACTGACGATAGACAGCTGATAGACACGTCTTACTGACGCTTATGCAATGGTTCTTTCCGAAGCAAGAATCGTCCTAGGTAGCATAAGCTGACGTTTTTTATTTGGGTCTTAGAAAAAATCCTTTGTACTCAAAGAAAAATATAGTGGTAGCAACTATAAAAGTGACTATACAAATTTTTATATATAGTATTGATGCACATATTACTTGCAATTAAACAAACTATTACATAATAAAACCATTATATGCAACTATAAAATAGTTTGTTTAACTGTACGTGTACATTTAATTTTACATGTAAAACTTGTATAGAATTGCTGACATGCTGACATGAAGATTGTCTGGGATTAGCAAAGCTGACATTTTTTGTCTAGGATAGTCGTAGAAGAAATCGTCTGTACTCAGAGAAAAACATGACAACTATATACAAATTTTATATATATGTAGAATTAATGCACATACATTAGTTAAACAAAGTATTTTATATAATTATTATAATTATAAAATAGTTCGTTTATAACTATTTATAAATTTAATTCAATGTTTATAACATTAATTCTATTCTAAAGCTTGTATAAAAAATTGTTATCATAATTGCTACCACTATTGTTTTGCTGAGTGAATAGGATTCCTTCAAACAACAACCTAGATAGCAAGCTGACTTGAAGTTTTTTTATCTGGGATAGTTCTAAAAAGAATTATCTGCCATCAATTATATGCACTCAATTGAGAAAATTATAGTGACTAAAAGTGACCATTTTCTCTCCATAAGTTTTATATATAGAATTAATGTACACACATTTACATTGATTCTAGTTAACAATACTATTTCAAAGTAACTACACCTATAAAACAATTTATTTAGAAATATTATGTGTGTGCACATTAATTCTACATATAAAACTTATATAAAATAAAAAAAATCCTTATAGTTGCTGTCACTGTTTTTCTCTAAAAAATACAGATTCCTTCAACAAATTATTTTACTCTTGGCAAGGTTTATATGTAGAATTAGTGTGCATAATCGAATAAACTATTTTATTTTTGCAATTAGGGTTGTTACTTAATTTTGACAATTTCGAAGATAGGAGCTTTACTGAAAAAATTTAAATCTTTTAAAAATAATATTTGTGCCAATAAAAAATAACGAATATATATTCGTAAATGTATTCATATATTTTTAATGAAAATGTGTTACTATTTACCACATTAAATTAATTATTATAATTTCGATACTTCAAAGCTTTAAAGATCGAAATTTTGAAGTTTTGCATTAAAATTTCGATCTTCGAAAATTTTAATATTAAAGTTTCGAAATTTGAATGTCGAAACCTTCGAAGCAAATCACCAGATCTAGTTTCAATAACTATAAAATAGTTTATTCAGTTATATATGTGTACATTAATTCTATGTATAAAATTTGTCACTTAAACAGTTGTCACGTTTTTTTCTCTGAATGTGGACCATCGCAATGCACAGACAATGTTACAGATTACTCTAATTTGTATTACATAGTATGTTCCTAGAAAAAATTTCCAGAGGTTTTCCCATAAAGAGGAAAGTCGAAGAACATCGACATGCGAGTCGTCGGACCATTCGCACATATCTGTTCCTTTTCGGATCCTCTGCTGAAGAACGGTTCTTTGATTCTCTCGCTCTCTCTTTTCATTCTTGGCAGAATGCATATTCGTTCTCGCTCACGGAAGTATCATTCGTATTTCAGAAGGACGGTAGGCACTACATCACCCTGAGCACATTTGGCTTCTACAAAGGCGGCATTCTGACCGTGAATCTCACGAACTTCAAGTTCGAGCCGGCGGACGTCAACAAAAAGCTGACACCGGAAAGCGCGAGCAAGGCCGTGGTAAGTTGCTAATAATAATCGGCCTGTAATTTCCGCTAACTACATATGCAACGTCTCGGTACAGTGCGTCTGTGGTATATTATTGAGTCATTTGGATTTCAAAAAATTTGCAGGAAATTTTCAAGGCAACCCTTTTTTGAGAAAATGTTGGAGAAATAATCCTGGTGGAAAACAAACTTTTACAAGAAAGTACAGAAAAATTACATAGATTGAGATGAGATCTTAGAAATTTTTAGTTTATATTCTATGAAAAACTGTTCATTTCTAAAATCTTATCTCAATCTGTGTAGTTTTTCATAAAAGCTTTTCCGCCAGGGAAGAATTATTCTGTGACTGTAAATGTAAGGAAATCAACCCTGACATAGCTCTTTTAATTTTGATGTTGCTCTTGCAATATTGTCTCAGAATTAGCGATAATTTTCCGTTATAATATTAATACATATATTAATACATATATACAACTTTAAGCTTTAATTGAGAGATAGTAACTTTGCAACAATGCGATACATCGCTCTGTTGTACAGCAACAGACACCTGTTTCTGTCTTCCGCACTCATGAAAAGAGCCATCCGCGTTTATAAATAAGTGCACAAGTATGCGGATGTATCATCGCCTTGTTAGACTCGTGAGTGACTTGTTCAGGCTTATAGCACAGAGCTAAATTATTGCTAAGTTATGAGAAAATGCATAGTACACACGCATATTAATAACGATAGTTGCTATTGATCTATGCTAACGATAGTTGTTTTGTTTAAATAACTTAATTCTTTTCATTTTTTTAAATTGTGGCGTCCCCTGGCACTTCGACACCCTAGAACTCAAACCCCAAAAGCCCGCCCATAGGTTAACGCACTACTGATCTTTTATACAGAAATTGGCTAACCAAAA